ACAGTAAAAGTGCAGGCAGGGCACTGGACAAAATTTAGGTGAAATGGTTTGATACAGTAATGTAATACTAACAGATTACAATGTATTGTGTGTATGTCATATTTTTAATTTTTTGAATTTCCCGCGGTTTCGCCCCCCTGCATCCCAACGCTCACAGGGAACGGAACCCGGAAGATGGATGCCTGCATTGGCCAAAGGACATGGCCGGAGGACACAGCGGGAGAACATCGCGGGATCGCAGGACAAGGTAAGGATCGAGGGATCTCAGGACAAGCACTGCAGTGTACTCCCGAGTGTGGCTCAGGGTTACCACTTTTGGTACTGTAAATTAACCTCAAGCCACACTTGGGGTTACCGCTAGGAAGGTTAAAGTAAACAAAAAAATAGGAATTAAAAGAAAACTTCTCCCTGCACATTGAGAGCATAGTGTGCTAGTATGCATCTCATACTAGCACATTATGAAAGACTTGCCTGAAAACGAACCCTCCAGCGGAAAGCTGTCATGGATCTTCACATAATCTTCCTCCTAAGTTTGTGGGCAGCAGCCGACTGGCCGAGCCGCGATGACGTCACTGCTGAGCATGCATACAGGAGTTTCAGACGTGGCATGGCTCTCAAGGGATGGCACGCTGCTGCTACAGTAAGTAAATATCTCCTAAACGGTGCACGTTTAGGAGATATTTACAGTACCTATAGGTAAGTCATATTAATTACCACTAATGTTAGGAAACACCTTACTTTTACGGTATGCATTTCTTTACTATTATTCATTTAACCACTTCCTGTCCGGACACTTTTACCCCCTTCCTGTCCAGGGCAATTTTCAGCTTTCAGCGCTATCACACGTTGAATGATAATTGCGCGGTCATGCAACACTGTACCCATATGAATGTTTTACCATTTTTTTAGACAGATAAAGCTTTATTTTGATGGTATTTATTCACTGCTGGGATTTTTATTTTTTTGCTATGTAAATGAAAAAGTCCCAAAATTTTGAAAAAAAAAGTGTGTTTTTCTTATAAAATGTTGCAAATAAATAATACTTCATCATAAATCTTGGCCAAAATTTATTCAGTTATCTTTTTAGTAAAAAAAAAAAAGCCAAATTATTTTACAACCAAAAATTATAATTTTTAAGCATTTTTTTTTACATTTTTATTTTATTTTTTTAATTATTTATGGGTTTTTTTTTTTTTTTTTTTTTACATACTGTCAACCTAGCAGTACAGTACTACTTGTGGGGGTGATGAAGATTTTTTTTTTCTTCCAATGTCCTCAACTCATCTCCTGATAGAACAAAGCCTTGGGGGCAAGCTGCACATGCTCAGTTTGGTGTGTATTGCTAGAGAGGTTTTTTTTTTTTGGGAGAGTGCATGTGATCAGCACAGGGTCAATAAGCACTGTCCAGACAGAGGGTCAGGGGTCCTGCAGTCTCACAGGACAGTGAGAGAATCAAAACTTCTCCTACAAGCTTTAACCAATGCCCAGTTGGACACTGATAGAAGTCACAAGACTGCTCTAACTGCTGATGCGAAAAGTTATTTATCAGTTTATATTTACTAAAATAATTGCATTTCCACGTTCTGTATACTGTGGGGGACCAGATATAGTGAATGCAGGATCCTGGGTTTTGTAACATGTTAAGGCACAAATCCCTCATTTTGTTTCCACAAAGTACCATAGGAGATATGACTGCCAGATGGTGGGAATTGCTGCACACTGTTAAATAGAAAAAATAGCTCTCATATCTGGATGTGCTTGTCAGGAGCACATTCAGTTTGCCACACCAAGATGAATTTTCTTTAGACTGGAAATTGCGGCATGTAGAGTATTTTAACATGACTAAACATTGTGATCATAGACTTAGTAACCTCACAGCTGGGCACTGTGCTTAATCATGCTTAGTTTAGAAGATTAGTAAAGAAAACGTTACTTTGAAATATGATGAAGGCCATATGCACCATCTTGATTTCATTTAGCCAAGCCCAGGCATATGACACCGTATGGGAGTCGGGATCTAAACTTTGCTGAATTAAAACCATAATGATTACTTAGCTGAACACGTAACAATCTTTTTCAAGTTATACAGTGGATCTTTGGAATTTTTCTGGTTTACGTTCTGAACAGAGGCATTAATCAGCCAGTTTATGTAAGCTCAGCTGTATTCCTTTTAAGACACATATAGTATCCTGTTGGCAGTTTTTCCATGAAGGTACAGTAAGAGCGTAGTCCCAAGTGGCTTCCTTTAAAGGTGACAACGCTTATGCTTTTCATGTCACTGCTTGTCCTCTGAGTGGACTGCTGTTCTTGCAGACAATGAGGAAATGTGACATGTAAATCTGGCTTTGAAAATAACAGGGTGTGGAAACCTTAGTAGTGAGCAGTATCACCGCAAGTGACGCAAAACTTTTTTTCATATTTTACATATAATTCAGCTAAATGTTGATTATCCTCGAAAATGTGGTTTATTGTTCTTATAGTATTTTTCAAGAAAAACCTTCAGATGATTTTACCCTTAAATTATACTAAATCATAATTTTTGAGGTAAAATAAAAAAAAGTTATACTTGCCTGCTCCGTTTAACGTTATTACACAGAGCAGTCCCTTACCTCCTGTTTGACAGTCCCCCTCTGGTGCTGTCGGCTCCTTCTTCTTCCAGATGCCTCCTTTGACAGCCGCTCACTATGGGGGCACTCGTTCTGCTTGCTCCTGAGCCCTACTTTGTGTGTCTATAGACAGACAGAGCGTGGATGAGCCCCATTCTCCACTCCCTGCTCACTGGCCATGATTGACAGAGGCGTCTCGCTGTTGTCTCAGCCAATGAGGAAAGAGAGAGCCAGGAGAGCTGCTGCTCTCATGCACATTACTGGATCGGGATTGTGGGGGGGAGCTGCACACAATGCTTTTTGCATTCATGCAGAGAATGCATGTAGGTTAAAAAAAACAAAACAAAAAAAAAAAACCTTCAGCCTTTAGAACCACTCCTTAAGGTTGCATGCACACAGGCATGTTAAAGCAGTATTAAGCCCAAAAGCAAACATTTATTATATTGCAGGCTACCTATTCTTAGATGTGATGGCTGCACTAGTTTTCTTTTTTATGCTTTCTTTTATTTTCATCTGGTGATCCAGCCAGTAAGTCTGTTGTTTTTCAAAGAACAAGCTGTCCTGCAGATGCAGCAGTTGTAGAGATGAGACAAAACTCTTTTAAAATAGGGTTCTTACAATGATCAGCTTTTATTTATGTAAAACCTTTATCCCAAAAGGGAAAAAAATACAGTAAGTCCCCTACTTACGAACGAGTTCCATTCTGGGAGTTCATTCGTAAGTCCAATTTTTTTGTAAATCCAACAAAATAAGTTTTATAATACTTTTCACACAAATAATGCATAAAAAACAAACAGAAAAAATACTGTAAAGAAAGGATGTTTAATCCTACAGTACCTTGAAAGGTACAGTAGCACAGTACAACAGCTGACATACAGGGGCTGGCATGGAGTGATCAGACAAGACCGCTGCTTTTATGCTTGCTTCCAGACATCCTAGACTTCAAATCAACACTATACTAGTGTACACTATTGTACTATGCAGTAAAGTACACATCAGAACAAGCGCTTGTGCCAGAGGGTGCACACAGCTGACAATGTCCGGCAAACACACATGAGCTACTTTTGTGATTTGGCATGTGACTGCATGTTCACATCTTTGAAAGTCCACAACTCGAATGTTAGTAAGTAGAGGATTTACTGTAATTTCCCTTTGGCATTTAATAATTTCCCTTTAAGCTTCATAAAGTATTCTGATTCAGAAAAATTGTTACTGCTTATAAAGTGTGAGCTGGAGTTCAGCTTCAATTTGTAAGTGTATTTAATTCTGCTAATACATCTAATACTTCCCTCCCCCGATTAACAATGCTGCTGTCCAGTTGTGCCCCCTGTGTTCTTTCATCCAGAGTGGGGGTACTGTATTACAGGAGGAGTGTTACTGGCCAGATTACCAGGTGAAAACAGAGGAGAAAAGCATAAAAAGAAAACTAATGCGTCCACTGCATCTAATGATAGGTAAGCTGCAATATACTACATTTTTGGTTTTGGATTTAATGCCGCTTTAAATTTCTCCCATCTATGCTGGATCTTTCTACCAGGAGTTGGCAGGAAAATCAAACAGAAAATATACTAATTTTGATGCCTAATTACACTCATTTATTCATTTTTACAGGTGTATGGCGTTTAGAAGCATGTGCGTGTAAACCCATTCTATTGGTTAGAATTTACACACAGATTCACATGTTTACACTCATATGCACATAAATTAAAGTGGAGTTCCACTCAAAAGTAGAAGCTCCGCATATTTGCCTCCTCCCCCTTCTGCTGTCATATTTGGTCCCTTTTGGAGGGGAGCGGGTACCTGATTTTGACAGGTACCCGTTTCCACTTCCGGCTCAGTTTGCCACAGCAAAGTGACCCAGAAATTTGGCCCCCTTCTTTCTCCTGCAGTCTCCTGGGAACTTTCACAGGTCCCAAGAGACTGCCGGACCAACCAGGGTGCGCGGTGCAACTTGCGCATTGTGCATTGGGCACCAGGCTGTGAAGCCGCAAGCTGTTACAGCCTGGTGCCCACAGTAGAGATGCTGGCGTCGTGGACATAGCTGGACCCTTGGATAGGTAAGTGTGTGTTTATTAAAAATCAGCAGCTACAGTTTTTGTAGCTACTGACTTTTAATAAACCCAAAAATGGCTGGAACTCCACTTTAAGCAAGTAAGCTGCTCCCCGAAGGCAGGTTTGAGGCATTTTACTTTGTGCTGCAAAATTCTAATCTGAACACCACAATGTGCATGGATGCATTAGCTGAAATGGAGCTGCATTCAGGTATACAAAATGAATAATGCCTCTTGTGTCTTTGGGGCCAACGTGTTTTGTTGAACTAGTTTTTAAATAAAAAAACGATTGTCTCTTATATGCTAAGAATTTCTACATAAAGTGCCTTTTTTATTGTTTCAGCCCCTGTCACACCACCAGAAATCCTTACTTTGGAGAAGAGAAACGGTTTGATTACCATTTTGTCAGCCCTGAGATATTCGAGGATATGACATGCTCTGTAAGAAATTGCCTGCTGTGTAGACAGGACTTTTTATGTCTTCTAATAGTGTTCTACACTAGCACAATAGAAAAGTAGAATTTCAAACTAAACCTAAGTAGTCTTAAAAATGATCCTTCCCCCCCACCAAACACCAATGCTGACTGACTTTTGAGAAAAAGATATATAAAATTATGATTTTCGGCCTGCTCCAGTCTGCTCATGCGATTCCCCTGTGTCAGCCAATTGTGGCTGCAGAAGAGGAGAGAGCACTCGAAAACAGCGGGGAATACCGACAGCCTTGATGTCACTCATAGGCTCCCATGTCCCAACCGTTGTTGGCGCTCCCTCCAAATGACAGTGCTCATGCCTAAAAATCAAAAAAGTACTTCTGCTGTGCTTTCGTAGTGTACAAAAAATGTGCAGATTCCCATCCATCCACCATCCTTCTCAAACCATTTCAGCTGTGTTTTTGTGTTCTCACTACAGGGAGCCCTTCCTGCCGTGTGAACACAATGATCAGTGTTTCCGGCTATAGCCAGCAGCACTGATCATTCAGGAAAAACCCAACAGGGTGGTTGTACAGAATTCAATTGATCAGTTTCTATAGAACCAGATTGCTCATACATGGATCGAAACTTGGCCTGTCCTTGCTAAAGTGTCTGAAATTCGATCCACGTATGGCCAGGTTAAGGGAGAGATATAACCTGTCAGGTTTTTTCTTTGTCATCTGTGTTCCATTTGGAAAATTTCCTCACTATTTCTGTTTAGGTAACAACCAAAAATTTGGGATTTTCTTTCACTCTTGGTGATATCGGTAAACAAAACATACAGGGAAGGTGGCTCTATCTAATTGGGAAACAGGCACTAATAAAAACCCAACCATTTTTAAGTTTCTCTCAACTCTTTGCAAAACTAAAAAATAATGTTGCTGTAACGGACCGCCTGACAGTACCTCTATCAGTCCCCTGATAGAGCCTCCCCAGAGTGCGGAGTCTAAGTACCGGAGCACTTGTTCACCAGGGCCCCTGATGGTGGGGATGGACTTGGAGCGCTCCGGGACCAGGTCGCAGCTGCTAGGTATCTCTACCAGAGGTAGAGGAGTCTGCCAAGGGCTCCAGCGGGTTAAGAGTCTGATGTGAGGGAGCCCAGGGATCCCTGAGGGATGGATGGACGGATGAGCAAAGTCAGAGTCAAACAAGCCGGGTCGGTAACTAGCGGGTCGGTGAGGTACAAGACGATAGGCAAAGGATAGTCGGGTCACACGCAGGGTCAATACCAAAAGATCAGATCTGTAAGGGAACATCCAGTAGCAGAGTCAGGCAAGCCAAGGGGTCAGGACAGGAGAAGGCAACAAGGTCAGCCAATCCAGATCAGAGTACTCACTACACAGGCAACAGGATACAAAAGACCATTCGGCAACAAGCGTCTGTGCAGGGCTGGCTTAAGTAGCCCGCCCTGCACCTGACAGTCGCCGCCTAGGTCCCAGTGCCTGCCTAGCACTGTCAAGACGACGGGTGCGCCTGGGTCCTAGCGCCCTGCTACCTGTATGTCTTGACAGACGCCTACGCATGTGTAGACCCATGCGTCGCGATGGTCCCTGACAGTTGCCTTCAGTTATACTTGAACTAAAGTACAGGAAATTGGTGTTACATTTTAAGCATCATCAGCAAAGGGAAGTGAAGAAACCGCATCATACTGAGTACATTTGTAGCTATTATCCTAATCTATAATTTGTATTGAAAAGTGACTATAATTATAATGTAGTAATGTGTTTTGTAATGGTAAACCACCAGACAATAGGCTCAACCAGAAAGTGTATTCTTAAAAGTGAACACATCTTTTAAGACCAACTTTTTGGCCTGTTTTGTTAGAGTAGATGAAAACCCTAACTGGGCAAAAGTTTATTTTCTGAATCACCATATATCATAGACAATTGCTATGTCTTGTTTAACTCATTACTGTACAATTTTATTTATTGTTTTGACTCTCAGCACTGCTGATCTTGACCAGCCTCTATAAAGCACTTCCTGTCTGCATGCACATGCACCAGTATTGGCTGCACATCCTTGCTCTTGACTGGTTCAACAGTGGACCACACCTGCACAATACAGCTCAACATGGCCACTTGAGTCTCCACCAGGAGTGTGTAAGGGTGAAAATGCACTAGTACAATTGGAAGACACTCAACATACCCTGTAACCACTTATAGAGCCACTCAAGGTTCTCTACTAGCGAACAATCTGTTGTCTTACAGAAATGTAGAGGTTTACTGCTTGATCCAGAAAGCAAGGAAGCATGGGGCAATGGGAGATACCGCACACCACTAGCTGATTAGGTGCAGAGGAATGTGAATGTTCTCAGTCTTGAGTTCCTCCTGAGCTTTGCCCCTGGTGCATTTGTCCTGCCCACTGGAGCATAGTCATAGCCTCTATTACTTAGCCTCAGTGGACAGGGCAAAATGCATGGGGAGCGAGGCTCAGGAAGAACTCAAGGCTGAGACCATTCACATTCCTCTGCACCTTTTTACATCACCTAGTGATGTGCGGTGTCTCTCATTCCCCCATGCTTCACAATTTAGAGACAGTTGTCACTTTATAACAAGAAGTTCTAAATTACCTCCCTGGCAAGATCAACTTCAGTTATTTCAACAAGATCTGCAGATTTAAATTGATTGAAAACAATGTTTGAAATATCTCTGTGATCCCAGATGGTGATCACTGCCATTTGAGAGCAATCATCTGACAAAGCCATGTTTCAGAAGCACTGAGCACCTTGAAATGTGTATCACAGATGGCTCGCCCTGTCAGAAATCTCACTGCTGAAGTACCCAGAATATATAAGACACAGCTGGTGATTGAACACTCCAGCATTTGTTTAAAAAGGAAGTATCTAGTTTGGATGGACTGAAACTTTACTAATGTAAAAATGAGAATATCTGACTAGCAGAAATGTTTCATGTTACTTACTAATTTACATCACTTATACTTGAGTTTAATTTCACTAATTTCCAGTATTATGGTTATATGATTAATATATGGTTCTGTCTTCTTCTAGGGACTGTTTATCCTGACTTTGAAGTACAGTGGTCACTACTATGGTCTGAGTAGAGAGGCCGTGGAGTCTGTTGCTAGAGAAGGTCTTGCTTGTTGCACACACATGGAAATAGAGGTGTTTCTTGCATTGTATATTCATAAATCTACTTATTCTACAAAGGGTGACTTTTTGTTTATTTTGTTCTGGTACTGGATCATATGGATTACTATAATATTGGAAAGAATCCAGTGCCAGAGATTTTATCCTTCCCTTCCCCCCATCCTCCATAGGCATAAACATGCATGATGAAGTGGTCCAAGCTTGCACGTTTATTGAAAGATCTTTAAGCAATTGGGTCCAGCCTGCATATCTAGCTTTATTAAATAGAGCAGTGAAAAGTACAGTAGCCTGTGCCCACTGATCATATCTCAATTTACTCTGGACAGATCAATATAACATTTTTTATTTACAGTTGTGTTCAAAATAATAGCAGTGTATTGAAAAAAGTGAATAAAGCTCAAAATCCTTCTAATAGCTTTTATTTCCATACACACAAATGCATTGGGAACACTACACATTCTATTCCAAATCAAAACATGAAGAAAAATATATCAAATTTGTGTTGTTCCTCTAAATAATTTGAAGAAAAGTGAATATTAGACTTCAAAAAAATAACAGTGTTTGTATTCTTCTTTACAAACTCAAACATTCACTATATAAACTGAAAAATGTTTGAAGATTTTGCTTTCCTTTGAATCACTTAATATTTAGTTGTATAACCACTGTTTCTTTGAACTGCTGTACATCTGTGTTGCATGGAGTCAACCAACTTCTGACACCTGTGAACAGGTATTCCAGCCCAGGATGATTGGACTACATTCCACAGTTCTTCACTATTTCTTGGTTTTGCCTCAGAAACTGAATTTTTGATGTCACCCCACAAGTTTTCTATTGGATTAAGATCCGGGGATTGGGCTGGCCACTCCAGAAGGTCAATCTTGTTGGTCTGGAACCAAGATGTTGCACGTTTACTGGTGTGTTTGGGGTCGTTGTCTTGTTGGAACACCCATTTAAAGGGCATTTCCTCTTCAGCATAAGGCAGCATGACCTCTTCAAGTATTCTGATGTATTCAAACTGATCCATGATCCCTGGTATGTGATAAATAGGCCCAACACCGTAGTATGAGAAACATCCCCATATCATGATGCTTGTGCAACCGTGCTTCACTGTCTTCACAGTGTACTGTGGCTTGAATTCAGTGTTTGGGGGTCATCTGACAAACTGTCTCTGGCCACTAGACCCAAAAAGAACAATCTTACTTTCATCAGTCCACAAAATGTTGCGCCATTTCTCTTTAGGCCAGTCAATGTGCTCTTTGGCAAATTGTAACTTCTTTAGCACGTCTTTTTTTCAACAGTGGGACTTTGCGGGGGCTTCTTGCAGATAGCTTGGCTTCACATAGGCGTCTTCTAATTGTAACAGTACTCACAGGTAACTTTAGACCTTCTTTGATCTTCCTGGAGCTGATTGTTGGCCGAGTCCTTGCCTTGCCATTTTGAATGGTAGTTTTTCACTTTCTTCCACGTTTTTCAGGTTTTGGTTGCCATTTTAAAGCATTTGCGATCATTTTAGCTGAGCAGCCTATCTTTTTCTGCACTGCTTTATATGTTTTCCCCTCTCCAATCAACTTTTTAATCAAGGTACGCTGTTCTTTTGAACAATGTCTGGAACAACCCATTTTCCTCAGAATTTCAGAGAGAAATGCACTGTAACCAGCATGTACAACATTTTCTGCCTTCCTTCCTTAAATAAGGGCAATAATTGCCACCTGTTTTTTCAAAGAATGAATGACCTCACTAATAGAACTCCACACTGCTATTATTTTGAACATGCCCATTTCAATTAGTGATTCAATTACACCGAATCAGCAGCATGCATGTCATGACTGTTGGGTCTGTTGGATTTCTATTACTCTACTATACCTGCTAGTAATTTATTTGCCATGTAGAAATATCATTTCTACCAAAAACAGTGATTGATCAGGTTAGTGATGTCTGACTGCTATTATTTTGAACACAACTGTAGTTGCTCATGATTATAGATTGTCAACATTCTATGTTTTAAAGAAGAACTCCATGCTATTTAAGTGGAAATAATAAATCTGAGACAAACCGCTATGACGTTAAACCATTACATGACATTACCTGTGCCCCTAAATGGTTTTTGTGCCGAGATAATTAAATGTGTTTCTGTAAACATAGTTTCAGGGGTTTTTTTGTTTTTTTTTGGTTGAACTGGATGGACTTTGGTCTTTTTTCAGTCAGACTAAGTAACTATGTAAGAAATAGCAAATGTAGAGAAGCATCCAACTCCAGCTGGATTCTGCTCCCATGGTTATTCACTACGGCTGGTTGTTGATCCGGTTTGTCTTGCTGACAGATAAGTACCAAGAATATGAAAGATTAATGCAGAAACACATTGTTTCTCCGTAGATGTTAGCTTAAAATTCTTGCAGTCAGCGGCCTGTCCCTAAAGGGGATTTCGTCTTTTCTTCACATTCCTAACCATTGACTGAGCTTTCCCTGTTGCTTTGAGTTCTGCCTTAAAAAAGTAATAGTATGAAACTGATCTGGGTTTATATCTATGTTCTAGGGTGTAAGAAGTTTGAAGAATTCCTACTTTAAACCACGTTACATCTTGCTCCTGCCAATGAACAAGGAGAAGTATGAAGGCTGGTTGAGGAGGAAGGGTTTGTTCACTAGACCCGAGATAGATGTTGCTGTGTCTAGAGTGGATATATATATAAAGATACATCAGGACTGCCCAGGCTACTTCGATGCAGTCATAAATACAGGTAATAGCATTTTATTTCTTTTTGTTTTTACACTTTAGTGCAATATGAACTAGTATGTAAATTCCTTCTATGCCAAAACATTTGTGGACACCTGCCCATCAAACCTATATAACCTTGTTTGATATCCCATTAAAAACCATGGGCATTAATATGCAGTTGCCCCCCTCCTCCCTGCTGCTATAACAACCTTTGCAAGGTCAGGTAATGATTCTGTTGGTGAAGAATAGCTTGCTTGCAATTGTTACTACAATTCATCCCTAAGTTGTTCAATACGGTTGAGCTCAGGGCTCTGTTTTGGTCAGTCAAGCTCATCTACATCAGACGTCTCAAATCATGTCTTGAAGGATCCTGCATTGTGCACGGGGTAGCATAGTCATGCTGTAACAGAAAGTGGCCTTGCACAAATTGTCGGTACAAGATTGGAATGCACAATAGTCAAAAAAATTTAACTGTACTGTTTGTAGTAGTACTCACAATACCTTACACTGGAAATATCTTTATTCAATAAATAGGAAGTGCATCTATATACTTTTTTCCATCTATTGTATTTTTATTGATTATTAATATTAACCAAAATTTAATATAAAGATATTTATTGCCTTTTGGTCTTTGCACAGATGATTTAGATGAAGCCTACAAGGAATTGAGATTGCTTGTTAAAGAGTACCTAGGCCTGACTGAGCAAGGACAATCCAGTCAAAGCTTAACCAGATCTAAATCTGCTAAATCTGGAACTGGTAATTATACTTATGTAATTTAAAGCAATAAAACAATATACAGTTGAGACAATTTATTTTGAAAATATCTCAATGAACACAAGAACAATTTCCAAAATGTTTACAAAACTAGTTGTATAGAACATTTGTTTAGCTCATTACATGAAAGTAAGGTTAATAATATAACTTAGAGTAGAAAATCTTCAGTTTTACTCAAATTAGTTGATGGAAAAATGAATACACCCAACAACAAAAACTACTCCATCTAGTATTTTGTATGAGCTCCATGATTTGTAAGGACAGCACCAAGTCTTCTAGGCATGGAATGAACAAGTTGACAACATACTGCAACATCGATCTTTTTCCATTCTTCAAGAACGACCTCTTTAGAGTGTGGATGATGGATGGAGAGTGATGCTCAACTTGTGTCTTCGAAATTCCCCATAGGTGTTCGATTGGGTTCAGATCAGGAGACATACTTGGCCACTGAATCACTTTCACTCTATTCTTCAGAAATTCAACAGTGGCCTTAGATGTGTGTTTTTGATCATTTTCATGTTGGAAAAGTGCCCACTGACAAAGGGCACAGAGTGATGGTAGCATCTTCTCTTTCAGTATAGAACAGTACATCTGTGAATTCATGATACCATCAATGAAATGCAGCTCCCCGACACCAGCAGCACTCATGCAGCCCCAAAGAACACTACTACCACCATGTTTCACTGTAGGCACCATGCATTTTTCTTTGTACTTCTCACCTTTGAGACGCCATACAGTTTTGAAGTTCCAAAAACATTTGTCTTGGTCTCATCACTCCAGAGTCCCAGTAGTCTTCTTCTTTTTCAGCATAGGCCCTGGCAAATTCTAGGCGGGCTTTTTTGTGCATGGGCTTTAGGAAAGGCTTCCTTCGTGGATGACACCCATGCATACTATTTTTCTGCAGTGTATGCTGTATTGTGTCACGGGAAACAATCACCCCAGTTTGGCTTTCTACTTCTTTAACTAACTGCAGTGAACCTTAACGTTTGGTCCCTTAACAAGTAGGAGGCACATATGCAAACTGTTGTAATTCCTACACCTACCTCCTGGAGAGTGTTCTTGATCTGGCCAACTGTTGTGAAGGGTGTTTTCTTCACCAGGGAAAGAATTCTTCGGTCATCCACCACAGTTGTTTTCCGTGGTCTTCTGGGTCTTTTGGTGTTGCTGAGTTCCAAACAGTTGTTTTGGCCACGCCTAATGTTTTTGCTATCTCTCTGATGGGTTTGTTTTGTTTTTTCAGCCTAATGATGGCTTGCTTCACTGATAGTGACAGCTGTTTGGATCTCATCTTGAGAGTTGACAGCAACAGATTCCAAATGCAAATAGCACACTTGAAATGAACTCTGGACCTTTTATCTGCTCATTGTAATTGGGATAATGAGGGAATAACACACACCTGGCCATGGAACAGCTGAGAAGCCAATTGTCCCATTACTTTTGGTCCCTTAACAAGTGGGAGGCACATATGCAAACTGTTGTAATTCCTACACCGTTCACCTGATTTGGACGTAAATACCCTTAAATTAAAGCTGACAGTCTGCAGTTAAAGCACATATTGTTTGTTTCATTTCAAATCCATTGTGGTTGTGTATAGAGCCAAAAATGTTAGAATTGTGTCGATGTCCCAATATTTATTGACCTGACTGTATGTTGTAGATATGCAAAGTATTTGATCTAATGTTATCTCCTATACATTTAGATTCTGGAAAACCTCTGACTGGATCCTCACCAAATGATGCTACTAAAGGCTCTCCGTACAACACCAACAATGAATTTCAGGATTCTGCTGCAAGAAATTATTCAGCTAGAGTCTCAGCCAAAGTTTCCTCTCAAAAAACACCTGCAGTAAATCACTCTTTTAGTCACGGCCAGACTGTATATCATTTACACAGAAATATATGTCATATGTTTAACCATGATTATTGCTTTCAGGAGGAGGCCTCTGTTCGCAGACGTCAGCAAGCAGCAAGACAGGCTTTAGTGGGGAAGACTCCTGGAACATACACCCAGCTGTTTCAGAGGTGAATTGAATAGTTTTGTAATAGAATTGAGTAAGGAAGCTCATACTGTACATAGGCAACATAATGGTAACACTGGGCCTGACCTGGTAGATAATGTGAATACCTGATCTATGGTTTATTTGTGACGTTATATTTGTAGAGGTCCAGTAACTGCTCCAGCAACATTAGGCACCCACCGCCGCCTTCTAGACCCCACATCATGCTCATCAATGAAACCAAGTGGTAGTAACGTAACTGCAGATCGTAGTTTCCCACCAGCCAGCCCTGAAACCAGGTAAATAACAATATGGTATATTAGATTTTTCCATTGTATATTGGTGTTTTTGAATGCTGCTGTATATGATTTGCAAATTTTTTTGCACTAAGTGCAGTTTTCTTCTTGTTTGATTGAAATCATGAAGAAATTGTGCTTGAAATGTCAGTTTGGGCAGAGTTGGCATTCTGAAGCATATACAGTTGTGCTGAAAAGTTTGCACACCCTAGCAGAAATCATAAAAAATGTTGGCAATTATTTTAAAAATATGCCTGATCATGCCAAAAACACTGTAATTTATTAATGAAAAGTGATCATATGAAGCCATTTATTATCACATAGTTGTTTGGCTCCTTTTTTAAAACATATTGATAACAGAAACCACCCAAATAGCCCTGATCAAAAGTTTCCATACCCTGGAATGTTTGGCTTTGGTACAGACGCACGGACACACACAGGTTAAAATGGCAATTAAAGGTTAATTTCCCACATCTGTGATTTTGTAAATTGCAATTAATATCTGTGTATAAATAGTCAGTGAGTTTGTTAGTTCTCATGTGGACGTACTGAGCAGGCTAGCTACAGAGTCATGGGGAGCAGAAAAGAACTGTCAAAAGACCTGCATAACAAGGTATTGGAACTTTATAAAGATGGAAAAGGATATAAAAAGATATCCAAAGCCTTGAATATGCCAGTTTAATCACTTTCTAAGAAGTGGAAAGTTTGTGGATCTCTTGATACAAAGCCAAGGTCAGGTAGACCAAGAAATATTGCAGCCACAACTGCCAGAAGAATTGTTCAAGATACAAAGAAAACCCCACAGGTAACCTCAGGAGAAATACAGGCTTCTCTGGAAAAAGACAGTGTGTTTTTTCTTTTTTGAGGGAGTGCAATACAACAAATTACCTGCATGGTCATGTGACAGAAAGGAGCCTTCACTGCACCAATTCCTCAAAAAAGCTCAGTTACAATATGTCTGAGAACACCTTGACATGCCTCACCTGGCTTTTTCGTGGCATTGGCTCAGTAAAGGCTTCTTTCTGGCAACTCAACCCTGTAGCTCATTTTTGTTCAAGTGATTGAACAGTACTGACTGGCATTTTCAAGGCTTTGGATATCTTTTTATATCCTTTTCCATCTTTTCAAGCTCCATTATCTTGTTACTTAGGTCTTCTGACAGTTCTTTTCTGCGCCCCATAGCTCAGTATCTAGCCTGCTCAATGCATCCATTGTGAGAGGTAACAAACTCACTTATTATTCATACACAGACACTAGTTGTCTGTGTTTGAAAAGCCACAGATGTGGAAATTAACCTTTAACTAACCATATGTGTCACCTTGTGTGTTTGTGTCAAGGCCAAACAATCCAGGGTATGTAAACATTGGATCAGCGCTATTTGGGTGATTTCTGTTATCATTGTAAATTAAAAAAGAGTCAAACAACTATGTAATAATAAATGGCTTCATATGATCACTATCCTTAAAGCAGATTTTTGGGATGATCACTCATATTTTCAATATAAATGCCAATATTTCACAATTTCTGCCAGGTTACGCATACCTTTGAGCATAACTGTATATGTTGGAAAGGTTAACCTATTATTTATAAAATGTAGTATTAATAGAAATCTTGGACAAAGGGTAAGCCATATCCTGCCAATCAGTTAGTTCTATCATATAAAGAAGCTTGGTTTTTGGATCATAAAGGGAAGTATATATAGTAGATATACGACCTTTCAGCTTGCCAGAAACTTGACAAGAGAGTTCGAAAGAAGTAATTGTTAAGGGTTCCGTTTAAGTTTGGATTGGAAGGACACAATTTGATTATATCGAAAAATTTCACTAGGGGGTAGTTGGTGCTTATCTCGAAAATATTGTGAGGAATATGGGCGATTCCCATCTAAACAGTCCCTGATACATAGAAAGCCCTTATTGATCCACCACTGAAATAAAGATGGCATATGCCCAGGTACAAATTCAGGATTACAAAAAACAGGAGCTAAGGGGGTATGGAGGGAAGATAAGGATTTACGGATGCGCAGCCTGTCTAATACTGTTAAATGATAAGATAATGTAGGGCATAAAATGGGAGGAGGCAGTCAAATGGGAAGCCACATAATAGAGCCAATAGCATAAGGATGACAAGATAGGGCTTCAATGCTAACCCATTGGGGTTTAGGACTCTTGACTGTAGTGTAGGAGAGCTGCATTATCTGGGCCGCATGAAAATAGGCCAAGAGGTTGGGAAGTCCCAAACCGCACATACTTTTTCTTGGAATGCAATGTTGAATTATTAATTCGGGGTGTTTATTACCCCACACAAATCGAGAGACTTCGGATTTGTAATTGCAATATTTCTCCTCTGGGGACCTCAATCGGTAAAGTCGGAAAAAAAATAGAGTAATCTTAGTAGGAAGGTTATTTTGATAGAGTTGATTCTACCAAACCAAGACGGGGAAATCTGCCCAGCTAAAAAGGTATTCCTTGAGTCGTTTAAAAAGTGGGGGATAAAGTGGGGGATAATTAGCATGATATAAAGTCACAAAAGAGTGTGTAAGATGGACTCCTAGATAAGGGAGGCAAGTCAAAATGGTCCTAAAGTTGTTTTGGAAGAGTTTAAAGTTAGTCCAGACGCCAGAGAAAATTGATGAAGCAGAGTCAACAAATTGGGCAAAAATGTTCAGGGATTCGAAACATACATAAGAACATCATCAGCAAACAGGGCACATTAGTGTTCTTGTCGGCCACATTGGATACCCATAATGTCAGGGTGACAACGAATAGCAATAGCAAGGGGTTCTATTGCCAGCGCGAAGAGTAAGGGAGGGAGTGGACACCTCTGTCTAGTACCACATCTGATAAGAAGATGAACCGATTTTTACCCACGAATAGAAACCTGAGCCGAGGGATTACAATATAAACCCTGTAATAGGAAAATAAAAGTGGAGCCAAACCCAAAGGCACTCAACATATGAAATAAGTAGTCTCAAGTCAAACTATCGAATGCCTTGTGAAGATCCAGAGATAGCAGCAAGATTTCCCTTGGTAGGAAATTATCCCAGTTATTTTTCACTGCAGATATTAATGCTAAAGTTTGATGGATCTGATCAAGTGTTTGATGTCCCCAATTAAACCCTGATTGGTCATCGTGAATGTAGTTTGCCAGAAACATATTGAGGCGCAAGGCCAAAACCTTAGTAAGGATCTTTAGGTCGCAATTGATCAGAGAAATAGGGCGGTAGTTAAGAACAGCAGTGGTATCTTTATTAGGCTTGGGAATAACACTAATATACGCTCTATTCTCATCATGTGGCACTACACCCCCATCCCATGGATGACTGAAGTAAAGACCCATATGTGAAACCAAAAGATCTGAGAAAGTTTTATAATAATTATGGGGAAGACCATCAGGTCCCAGTGATTTATTTTAAGAGCTAAGGGTTTAACCGCTTTCTGGATTTCCTCACTAGTGATAGGTTGGTCCATGAGTTCTCTATGAGCCTCCTGGAGAGATGGGAGAGTCAAAGATGTAAAAAAATGATTAACAGACGGGGAGGCATTTTCTCAGGGTTGACGATAAAGGTCAGTATATAAGGAATGAAATGCTTGAAGAATTTTGCAAGGGTCTTGGACTTTGTGACCAGTCGATAATCTAATTTTAGGGAGACCTATATGAGAATGCCTGGGAGATCTCGCCACGTGAAAAAAATTTGTGGTTAGCCCAACGTAACTGTTTATTTGCCGAAGTAGTTTGGCATAAATTAAGTTCCGTGCGGGCATGGTCAAGTTTAGCCAACAAATCAGGGTCGGGAGTCTTTTTATGTTGGGCAGCAAGAACACTATAAGCTTTGGATTTAGCCGAAATCAATTCATCACAAGCCTTTTTGAGTCGGGAGTATAGCTGAATAAGACAGCCCCTAACTGAGGCCTTATGGGCCGCCCAGTTTATAGCAGAATTTGTGTCCTCTGCTTTGTTTGTTTCAAAATAGAATTTCAGATGAGTAGAAATATCAAGACAATAGGATTTGTTGCTCAAGAGAGATTCATTAAGGCGCCAATCAGGGTTAGCCATCTCAGTTGTCAAGGTGGAAAGCATTAATAGGACAGGATCATGGTCAGACCAAGATGTAGAGACAAGTAAGACAATCTTGCAAGTGAGCAATTTAGGTAGCAGCCTAGAGAGGAGAAATATATGATCAATGTGGGAATAACAATTATGAGCTCTGGAGAAGTGAGAATAATCTTGGGAAGTTGGATTAGCCTCCCTCCAGGCGTCGACCAAATCATAGCGAAACAGTAACTGGGCAAACTTTCGGCTCTGTCTGGAAGGGGATCTAAGCATGGCAGCGCGAGACTTGTCCAATATCTGATCCAATGCTAAATTAGAATCTCCAGCCATTATACGTAACATCGCCCTCAAATTCTGAAGCCAAAGAGTAGAGTAGGGATTGGAAGAACCGCACCTGATTAGCATTTGGTGCATAATAACCAGAAAGGTGACCACATTTTCTCCCAGATGCCCTTTCACAAAAAGATAGCGTTCCTCCCTATCTTTAATTAACTTAGTTTTGGTGAAAGATACCACACCGTCAGCTCCTAAGGAGCGGTAATGATGGTAGGCTTTAATACATTTAGAAGGAGAGCCAAACCCCAGGACATTATGAGAAAGCAATCGACTGAGATCTCTGTCAGACTGTTGTGAAGACATAGCTAGCAACAAAGTTCCAATAGACGTGTAAGTTTACCCACCTTGGCAGAGCAGCAGGAATCCTGAGTATCCGGTAGAGAACATGGCTGACCCTCATGCAATGAGAAAGAAAAGGATTAGAAAAATATAAGAAAAGAATAGAGGCTAGACACTTAGGGTAAACATTACCCAGTGTCAGAGGGAATATTACAACATACATTATGAAGCAACATGGAAAACAATAAACCAAATAGTCCAGGGTTGCGGCCCCGGAAAGGAAGGAGTCTTCCCAAAGACCAACCTCTGGGGAGAGTCCAACAATCTGAGAGGGCACA